GACCCACATTGGAGAAGTTCATGGAGGACTGTCTCCCATGGGAGGGACCCCACGCTGGAGCAGGGGAAGAGTGTGAGGAGTCCTCCCCCTGAGGAGGAAGGATTCCCCGTCCCCCCTGCACCGTTTCGGGGGAGGAGATATAGAAAATCAGGAGTGAAGTTGAGCCCAGGAAGAAGGGAGGGGTGGGGGGAAGGTGTTTTAAGATTTGGTTTTATTTCTCATTACCCTACTCTGACTTTTGATTAGCAATAAATTAAATTAATTTCCCCAAGTCGAGTCTGCTTTTTGCCCATGACAGTAATTGGTGAGTGATCTCTCCCTGTCCTTATCTCAACCCACGAGCCTTTCATTATATTTTCTCTCCCCTGTCCAGCTGAGGAGGGGAATGATAGAGCGGCTTGGTGGGCCCTGCCATCCAGCCAAGGTCAACCCACCACAGTCCCTAAACAGCAGCAGGACAGACAGGACACAGTTTGTGTGGTAGCCCTTGGGCCTGTCCGGACAGGACCAGCTGTGAGAAACATGCTCTGCACCATAGCTGGAGAGCATGGCCTCACCTGGAGCCTCTGGCAGAAAACACCTGGAGAGACACGAGGTTGACCTCTAGGGTTCTGGAGCTGGGGGCATCAAGCGTCCGAGGTGCTTGTGCTGCAATAGATGGTCATAGGAAGGGTCCCCTCTACATCATATGCAACCGACACTACGTGGAGTAAGTGGGTAGAATTGATCATGCAACAGGCTCAAATGGGGAGCCCCCACTGCCATGAATCCTGGAAGAGATCACAGTTTGGCCAGGAGGCAGAGATTTTGGAGCATCACCTGCAGAGGTGGCTCAGTATAATAAATTAGCAGAAAGGGAAAGGCAATATGCTCTGTTTACCACGTTGTGTTGTGCGAAACCATCTGATGTGGAAAGGTGCTGTGTGGAGCGCAAGTCATGGACCAAATGAATTGATTGGATTTCTATGGACGTTTGGGGGATGTCCCACAGACTAAGGGAATGAGGTCTGTGTGTATGTCAAAGGACAAGGAGGGGGGGCATGCTTGATGGGGATGTACTGGAGAGTGTAGGACCTGAGTGTGGTGCAAACGGTATGGAACGAGGGGTGGATATTGTACTGGGACTGGCTGGGATGGAGTTAACTTTCTTCATAGCTGTCCGTGTGGTGCCATGTTTTGTGGCTAAAACAGTGTTGATAACACACCAGCGTGTTGGCTATTGCCGAACAGCGCTTGCACAGCATCAAGGCTTGCTTTTTTTCCCACTCTGCCCCTGCAGCAAGTAGGCTGGGGGTGGTCAAGAGACTGGGAGGGGGCACAGCCAGGACAGTTGACCCAAATTGGCCAAAGGGATATTCCATGCCATAAAACGCCCACCTCAGCAAGAAAACCTGGGGCAGAGGAAGAAGAATGGTGGGGCTTTTGTCTTCCAAGGTGGCCATTGCTGGGAGACTGGCTGGCCATGGGTCTGCTGGTGGGAGGTGGTGAGTGATTGCCTTTGCATTGCTTGCGGGTTTTTTGGGTTGGGTTGTTTGGTTTAGCCTTTTTTTGCTTTCCTTCACTTATGAAACCGTCCTTATCTGGATCGACAAACATTCTCACTTTTGTTCTTCCTACTCTCTCCCCCATCCCACTGTGGGGGGAGTGAGGGAGCGGCTGTGTGGGTGTTTGGCTGCTGTCCAAGGTCAACCCATTCGCTTTGGTTAGTCCCTGCGAGGCTGCCTCCCACTTGAAGAGTCTTTATAGGGAGACTGTGCAGTGGGATATTTTAGAGTATTTATTTGCTATGGGATTTTTTATTCCCCCTTTTGATTTTTCCCTGTTCCCATTTTCTGGATGGTGAGAGCAAGCAGGAGAGACTGAAGGAGGAAGGAGGCTTGAAGAAAAATGGAACAAACAAAATAAAAAAAAAAGGGGGGGGGAAACAAAGCTTTTTTCTCTCTTTAGTAAAAAAGCTGCCATTGCATTCATTTGAAATCTCCAGCTCTTACTACCCTGAGTGTAGTTTTGATGCAGGCTTTTGTTTAGCAGGTTTGTTACAGGATGGTCAGGGTTGTTGCGTTGGCAATGAGACCTCTCCAAGTGGCAATGAACGTGCAACGTCAGGATGCTGTTAGAAAAGTGAAGGTGCTTCTGTCCAAGGAGAGAGAGATGAGGGAAAGATAAAAGAGGTAGTGAGGATGGGGCAGGGTACACATGGGTGGTTGAGTCATGCTCTGTTGACTGCTGGAGGCTGGCAGGGTTATGCTGTGGTATGAGAAGGGCTCAGAGCAGTGTGTGCCACCTTGTGCATCACCTCACTGCTGAGGCTGTCAGGAGAGGGAGGCAGAGCTGACGGAGACTGCAGAGGTGCAGCAAGCCCCAGGTGTTCAGTAAGATGTGCTAAAAGCTCATCTGCACAGCCAGAAAGGAGCACAGAGACAACAGCAGGAGAGGGAGCCCAAATAATACCCTTCCTGGGCAGCTCCCAGGCCCATCCCAGGAGCCATCAGCACATCAAAGGCCCATTTCCTCAAGCCCAGAGGAGCAG